TATATATATATATATATATATAGTTATTCGAAGAGATATATGTAATTTTAAATAAAAACTGTAAGTCTAAATTCTTAACATCGATTAAAAAAAAAAAAAATCAGTACTAAGAGTCTATTTGAGCAACTTGTGCGTTTCAGGATAAGCAACTTATCCTGAAACGTGTCCCGCGGGTTATCCACAGGGGTCGACCCGCTGCCTACGTTTAGTATAAAAAACTCAAACGCGGCAGACAACGTTTTCAAAAACGGGCAAACCAAACTTTTAGGAGGCATTTTCAAAAATGCCGCCGCACTTATAAGTTTTCCCAAACGGCCCTAAATAGTTTTAGCTTTCACCAGTGTTAGTCCTAATTAAATAAAAACGATAGAACTTATTAGTTTTAAAAATATCATCCATATCACGTCATAAAATATCATTATTTTCATTTCAAAAAAAATATTCATATGCAGCCAAGGTGGCCTAATATGCCCTGGCTGAGCTGCCACAATATATAAACTTATTTATTTTATGAGTTAGCCCTACAGCCCATAACGCTCATGGATTACTTTATTTTCCTCCCTTGGGCTGGTTGCTAAAATTTCCTTGAAGCGATTAAGAGTCTGTTTGAGGCAGCTTGTAAGCACGAAAGCGTTTTTTAAAATGTCGTCTAACTGTTTGATTTGCGCATTTTTAAAGCGTTGTCTGCCGCATTTGGGTTTTTTACTATAAACGCAGGCCGCGGGTCGACCCCTGTGGTTAACCCGGGGGCCGCGTTTCAGGATAAACTGTTTATCCTGAAACTCACAAGCTGTCCCAAATAGACTCTAAGATATAAATCTATTAGTGTGTATGTATATATATATATATATATTCCAAAATATTTTTTTATTTATTAGTTTTATTAATTATATTTTTAGTATATGCATATGAAAAATAAGACAATCAAGCATATTCAGTTAAGAAATATAGCTAATGTTCATTTTTGTTAAAATATGATCTAAGTTTTAATAATGAAATATTCTTTTGTTAGTTAGTTAGTTCCAAGTTTGTTTGTATAAACTGTAATTAGTTTTTGTTTAGTTGTTTTTTTTTGTTTCGTTTGTGAGGTGAACTAAAATGTGCATACAAGAGGTGCATAGCAATTAAATGATAACAAGTTCAGTTCTTACTGAATTTCTTTTCTTTCGTGTTTTCTTTCTACCATCTTTTTCTATTTTCTCGAGAGAATCTTCATAACAATTGGAATCAGAGCTAGAAAAAAAGAGAAGGTTGATATGGCTATGACAAAAATTGATATCAAGAAGTTTATTATGGAGAATGATTTTAGTCTATGAAGAGTTAAAATGAAGGCTCTATTCATTCATCAGAGACTTATCTAATGCAATTTCAAGAGAAGGTTTGGAGGCAATGGCTGATAGGATAAAGGGAAGAGAGATTCAATTGAAAGCCCATAGCGCTATTATCTTATCATTGGGAGATGAAGTCCAGAGGGAGGTAGCTGGAGAAAACAAGGCTTGCAGTGTCATCTCATGTGCTTGTAGTGTCACCTAAAGCTTCTAAAAATGAATGTATTTTTTATTTAGGATTTCATTTCATATGAGCCCAAATAAAGAATTGTTTCAAATTTTCAAGAAATGTGAAGGCGGCATGACTTTGTTTGGAGAAAACAAGGCTTGCAAGATCAAGAGAATGGGTTTAAATTTCATAATGATGCTTGATGATTGTTGTATAACACCACAACTTGTAAAGCATGTTCCTAATATGAACAAAAGTTAATTTATGTTGGTGTGCTAGATGCAGATGGTTGTATGTAGAAATTAGATAATGGTGTAACTAAAGATCCTAAGGGAGCTGTGATAATCATTAAAGGATTCATTAAAAATCAAGTGTATGAACCCGTTGGCCACACATAAACTCGGCAGTTGCGCTAACAATTTTAGATGAAAATGATAACAACAAACTACGGCATTTAAGACTAGGTCACTTCAACTATCAAGAGTTAGAAGAACTTAGCAATCAAAACTTACTTGGCGGTGATGACATAATTAAATTGCAATTATGTGATTGCCAAATGATGCATGGTGAAATTCACAACAACAATTCATAACACAAAGGGAATATTAGATTATGTACATAGTAATTTGTGGGGCCATGCAAGAAACAACCTTAAGGGAGGGGCTAAATATTTCATGTCCATTATTGATGACTCATTGAGAATGGTATGGACATATTTTCATTAAGATAAAGCTTTCCATACCATCAAGGAATGGAATCATGTCATAGAGAACCAAGTTGGCAGGAGAACTAAGAAACTACATACATATAACATTTTGAAGTACTACTGAAATATGTTCGATAAATTTTACAAACATGAGAACATTGCAAGGTACACCACAATTTGTAACACAACACAACAAAATGGATTGGCTGAGAGGATGAATAGAACCCTATTAGAAAGTGTACATAGCATGTTTTTCCTCGAGTTGAAACAAAGTAATTAAGCTATCCATTCTAGAGCTGTAAGATGTGTTTTCCGAAGCTATCCGAAAGGGAATGATACAAAGTAAGTAAGCTATCTGTTCTTGTTTATTTTCTTTTATTCCCTATGTTCTTTCTACCATTTTGTCTATTTTCTTAGGTTAATCTTCATATTCAACATTTATTTATTATTAATATAGTATATTTCTAACAAAAAAAAATTTTAAGCTCCATTGGCGAACCCAAGGATGAAAAAATGTTGATAATTTGCTTCAAATGATTAATTTTATGTACCAAAAAAAAAAATCATGGCTTTGCCACTG